GCTCAGTTGTCGAGGACGGGGGCATTCCCACAGCGTGTGCGGCAGGACCTCCCGTGGATTGTCGGGGCTCAGCGGCTGGTGGGGGTTGCAGCAGAGGAGTGGCTGAAGGGCTACGACTGTCATTGGAGTATGCAGAGGTGCGTTGTCCGTTTTTTGCTCGTTGATACGCTTGACATTTTCGGTAGTGACCTGCGCGTGAGGCACTTGTTGGGAGACCGTGGTGCTGTCGCAGAATCCACATGTGAGGCCTTCTGCTACGATTGGAGTGCCGGGGTTAGTGCGTCGGGCGTGTGACTTCATATTGTGGACGGACGAGAAGACGCTGCTGCAGCTTGAGCAGGGCGACGTTGATCTGCCGCTCGTCATTCTACGAGGAGGTGCCGTGGACACGCCAGGTGGAGGTTCCGGAGGAGGTCGGGGTGGTCGTGCCTCTTCAGTGTGAGGAATGGACGGCACCACCAACACAGAGGGTCGCTTGTAATCTGCAGGGCGCGTGCCAGTCAGCCGAAGAGTGGGAAGGAGCCGCAATGCACCTGCGCACAAAGTCGTGATTCGATGCCCGATGTCTGCCTGGAAAACAGGAATGATTTTTTTCTACACCGACGAGCACCTGTCATGCGGTGTGTTCAACGTCTTCTTCCTCCTCGACTTCCTTCCAGTACAACCTCTTGACGGCGGCAAGGAATTCCACGTGCCAGATTGGGATGCCTCATTGCTGCAGGGATCGTGCAATCGTGGTTTCTTCGTCAGCGGCCTCACTGCGTGGGATGCCGCAGTGCGATGGGGAAAATATAAGGTGTGCGGGGTGAACTCGCTTCACCAAGGAAAGCAGCATAGCCCAAGTCTCTTCAGCAACGCGGCCTCGCATGGCCGGTGGGGCAACGCGGAGTGCCTCAGTTGCCGACAGGGTGTTTGTTGCCACCGGGGTTTGTGTGGACGATTGGGATGTTTCCGGACGAGGAGGTATGAGATGTCTAAAGCCAATTTTTATGGCAAGACACTCTGCTCTCTATGAGCATGCGAGTCTGCCAGCTGCTGCACGATGGACCTCCACAGGGAAATCATTTGTCCTTGTGGAGCCATACAATAGCGCAGTGGAACCATATGCGAGTTCGGCGAGTGATGAGGAACCGTCCGCACATAATTCAAAATCGTAATCTCCTAGAGATGAGTAAATAGAATCCAAAGCCGTGCGCTTGACATCGTCAGAGGCGTCGTTGGCAAAGCGTGGCCGATACAATTCCACGTTATTGCAGCCCACAGTGTCCCTGGGAAAAATTCGATGTTGGGCAAGAGGAGCACGATTGTGGTTGTGGGGTGTCCCAATAATGTCACATACACGTTCTAATCCATTAATAACGGCATCTCTCGGAGGTGGGATTGATGTCGCCGCTTTCCCATGCATGGACGGCGGCATAGGTTCCGAGTAGATAAGGGAACGCAAATCCTCGTGATTATGGAAACGTGCATGGCGTGTGTTGTGTGATTGCACGGAGCCAGAGTATCTTCCGGAGCGGAAGAATATTGGCCTCCAAATAGACAGATGTATCTTCCGTTAGTGCGCTAATGCCAAGGTGTGTTTTACAACTGTCGCGGTACAGTACCTTCATATTATGGAGGCAGGTGTGGGCGAAGCATGGGATAATTGCTTTGCTATAATATGGTGACACACCATGGACGTATCCAATCGAAAAGGATCGCATGGTGTGATGGGACGCACCAGCCTTTGCGAAAGGCCGTAATTGGTAACGGCGTGGCATGGTCTGCTTTGCATCGGTGGAAGCGTGCGGACCAAAATTAAGGAGTCGATCGAACGTGGTGTCCAGCAAGCGCACTGGGCGGGACTAAATACGTAGGTTCCCATGGCCACGAAGGAGATCGGCCATGCCCTCTTCAGACTCTGTGTGTGAAGAGATGTAGAATAGAGCAGCTTTGCTCTTATCAACGTTGATTTTTAGGTTGTGCTCGACAGCCCATGCCGTTATAGGTGACAGGGCAGGTGGCATTACCGCAGCACATGCATGGATTTCCGCACCTGAGGCAACAAGTGCGAGGTCGTCAGCGTGCATGAGTGCGGAGGCAGAATAGTTGTTGTCCATGCGGTGCGGCAGATCATCCACATGGCGGAGGAAGAGTTGGTGTCCCGGGACGCCGCCTTGCGGTGCTCCAGCTGAGGCGAGTTGTTTCCGGGAGTGCTGTTCGCGAGTGCATACCCTAACATGGCGGCCCCGCAGGTAGTTGTGCAGCCAGCGTTTGGTTCGAGGCCAAGGCGCGGGAGTCTGTCAAGCATGCCGAATAACTTCTCATGGTCAGTGGTGTCGAACGCAGTCGGAAAATCAATCAAGGCTACGAGCGAGCGATGATGACGAGGGTGTTGTGTGTGGGCGCCGTCTCCAGGGCGCTCATACTCCACAGTGCTGAACTCATTCAATCCACGGGTAATTCTATCGATAACAAGTGTCATCGCGACCGATGTTGAACGCGAATGTGTGAACCCGAATTGACGTGGGTGGTGCGGCAATAACGCTTACAGACGGCGGTGAATCATTCTTTCGGTTTAGTAAAACAGAGAGCAGCGTGATAGGTCTGTAACTCACTGGGCGGTATGGGCCCTTCCCAGGTTGGGGAATGGGAATAGTTTCCACCGTATTCCAGAAGCCAGGCAGGCTGCCATTTGCGAAGGAGTTGTGGATCATCATTCTAGGTGTGCCATGCGCAATGGGCACGGGATTGTGCGGGAACTCATTCAACATGTTGTCGTGGCCAGGGGCTGAGCCGAGCGAAGAGTCGCGGATGGCCACGTCAAGTTCATACGGCGTGAGAGGTCGATCCATTTCCCAGTCACCAAGGGGGGCAAGGGAGCGCAGCAGCAGCAGCAGCAGTATAATGTAATTTGGCACGTGAAACCGCACAAAAAGATTGACGAGCAGATTTGTCTGTTGCCGAGGCAGAGCGCATACGCGGTCCGAGGATCTGTTCGGAGCACCACTGATTCCAAAGGATGAGGGTGCGGCGCCGCCACGCCGTGAAGATATCGCCAGCTCGGGCTGGATGAGGCCCCAAGTTTTTCCGCGCGGGCTTCCAGAAGCATAGTGGAGCCACGGCGTAAGGCTTGATTTTGGTCCTCCACTTTTTGGATTAATTCGGCTCGAAGCAAGCTGTCTCCTGGCGAGGCGACGTGTGTGCTTTGTGTGCTGCTTCTGCGGCGGACTCGGCTTGTTCCATATTGTTTGTCCAGATTGTTTTGGGCGTTCACGCCTGCTGTGCGGGATGTGGCGCTCAGCTGCTCGTACGATACCACTGCGAATGTCCAACAATGTGGACGCGGTGGCAAGGAGTGTTTCACACAACGATGCAAAAGCAGGGCAACCCGCTTTACGCAGGGCAAGGGTGCCTTTCTTCCGTCAAGGCAGCGTGTTTGCTAGTCGTGGAGTGCCATCAACCATCCCCACCGAGTAAGATATTCAGCAGTGGTCCTAATCGATGTAGAGGGTGTATTGCCAGTGGGTGACACGCAGTACGCGATACGCAGCCACGTCAGGGACGAGACATTACGATTTGTGATCCGCGTTGCCTGCGCCGGGTCATTTGCCAGTTCGAAATCCATGTCAATTAGAGTAGAGGACAAATCCTCTCCTCCAGTCGTTGAAGGTAGATGACTTTCCCAGAGTCCATGATGTAAATTCAGTTCACCCGCGATAACAGCTGCGGGCCTGAGCAACGAATGGCAGTAATAAACGAAGAGCTCTGAACGGTTGCTGTGCGAGGGCTGTGGAGATTCACCACGCAGATGCTGGGAAATCCCTGTGGAGTTGCACGGACAGCTATGGTCTCCAGGAGGTCTGTGCCAGGGAGCGTCAGGCACTCGCACGGCAGAGAGTGGCGCACCAGAGTGGCAACGCCACCACCGCGCCCAGTGCGGCCTGAAGGCAGTCATTATAGCCATATAGTTTTGCCGCTGTGGCACTTTGAGTATTTGTTTTCTGGAGAAGAACGATGTCAGGTTGATGTTGCTCCAGTCGCGCAGCAGATGCAATCTTTTTTACGGGCGAGAGGCCTGCAACGTTGAGCTGCCAAACACTGATGAAGCCATCCTCCTCGGTTTCAGGGTTCTTTTGTAATTCAGCGCAACGGGTGATATCAACGGAGTGACCGCAGCGAAACGATCGTGCAGTTTTGTCCGACAGTCTGCAGGCAGACCGCTTCAACTCCCCGCACCGGGCATGGCGTGGAACCCTCTCGAGGGGTGGAGTCGTCTTGGTCTCCGTTGTGCTCGCAGCAACGCTCTGCTGCGGAGTTTCCACATGCAGCCAGAGCCCCAGCACCGCGACAAGGTGCGACTTCATTGCTGGGGCTTACCGAATGTTGTCGAGGGCCTCATTTTAATTCTTTTTCCTTTCTTCTTTTGCTGCTTGCGTTTTATTGGAATAACAATTATCTTTTTGTTTTCCCAGTGGCTGTTTAACTGCTCTACAGATCATTATGAGTGACGTATTTTCCATTTTGTTTTCTTTTTTGCCCACACGCGGTGCCGGCCTCATTGCTGTGCGTCCCACGGACTGCACGAAAGGAGGAGTGGAGGAACACGCCGGATGCCGCATGAATTATAAGGGACGTTTTGTGGACTGGTGGAGCAGCAAGATCTCTTTTTTCATATTATTTTCTGCTATTTTTCGCGGGGAAGATGTATACACAAACACACGGTCATCTATATTGTGCTGCATGGCACGTGAAATAAAATTAAGATCTAATCTATTTTCTTTGTCCTTTCCGGGACTCTTGCCGGACTATTAACCCAGTTTTTATTTGTTCTTAATTTCTGATTTGCAGGGCGGCGTGATTTTTTTGCCTTCTCACTGATTCCAACTGCCCCATGGTGTGTGCAAGCTGCCATTTGTCACTGTGCGGTGGTTGTGTGTGATTTGTCTCTCCTTTTGCTTTTCCTCTACGTTGACGTGTTGTTAGTTTGTGCTGAAGGCTACACGCAAGTGACAGGAGTGATGGCGTTGATGATGACTGGCCGTGTGCTGCTGGTGTGTGCCCTCTGCGTGCTGTGGTGCGGTTTGTCTGGAATTGCGGTCAATGATGCTGGCGGTGTTTCTGATGGCAGTGAGTTTGAGTATTTGTTCCTAAATTGGGAAGAACTGCTAAAGAACGAATGCGAGGCGGAATATTCTAACGAAACGAATTTGAGTTTGAAGGATTTGGCCGTGAATTGTTGTTTACATCATGACATGCATGAGCTTTGTGAGGATCTTTACTCTAGGCTGTTCATGGAAACTGAATTCCCTAATGTTGGGGGTGTTTGCAAAAAGTACGCTGAAAAAACAGATGAAGTTAAGTGCCGAAAACAGCAAACCCAACCGCCGCCAGCTGCGGAAAATTCAGTAAAAGTTTCAGTTCCAAAAGCACTGGGAAAGGAAGGAGACTTGGGAGAAACACCGAAAGAGGCACCTCTGGCGGATCCACCAGCGAAACCAACAAAAGGACCACCATCCTCGCCAGTGGGAGGACAACCCACCAATGCAGATGATGTGCCGACACCAAAATCAGAGGAACGCCCAGTAACCACGAGGCCAACAAAAGATTCGACAGAAGGGAACACTGACACAATCACAGACACCGATCAGGAGGAAACATCTACCAGTGAAGCCGAATCAGCCGCACCAACACCCACGGTTGCCAGCGATAATGATGATGACAACGAAACGGACAAGGGCACTGGAGAAGAAGTTCCGAACAATGCACCGGAATCCGATGATGCAGGGAGAAAAGAAAAACAAGATGAAAATAAAGAAGCCAATCCTAAAGAAACACCAGTCGAATCCACAGCCACGAAAACCACTACGCCGACGACACCCGGCGACAGTGACGGCAGCACCGCGATCTCCCACACCACCTCCCCTCCTTTGCTTCTTCTTCTTCTTGTTGTTGTTGCATGTGCGGCTGCGGTGGTGGTCGCGTGAGAGTGAGTGTGAGAGAGCCATGCACCGCCCGCACACACACTCTTCCTTCTCTCTCTGTGTGTGTGTGTCCCCTTGCATGGGCTCTCGCCCTCACCTCACCCCACGAAGCACACACAATAATGTGCCCATTGTATATATGCATGCACACCCATGCAGGCCCGTTGGTGCTCTCTTTTGCACGACACGCACCGCTGCCGTCCTGCCTGGCTGCATGGACGGAGCACCGTAACTGTTTCTGTTTTGTTTTTATTGCATTGAGTGGGCGACCTCTCTCTCTCTCCCTGTGTGTGTGTTTTGCTTTACGGGAGCAATGAGAGTGTGTGTGCGCTGGTAGTCCCACGCTTCGGCTTTTTGTTTTGTTTTCCTTTTTGATTTTGTGGTTGAGTGCACCCATTCCGCGGCTGCGTGTGTGTGTGTGTGATGATATGAGTAATTTGCGTGTGTGCTTATCTGCCTCTCTCTGCCGTTGCTTTCTTCAGACTCTCTTGTGGCGCACAGCTGCTCTGCAAGTATAGGCGCTGACAAACACACACACACATGCACACACATGCCGTGCTTAAAACGCTGAGAATGCACGCACGCACAGGATTGTGGCTGCCGAGGCCCTCGCGAGGGGGAAAAAACCTGCATTTTTTTTTTTTTGACATGTTGCTCGGTGTGTGCTGACGCGTGACGAATAACAACACGCCCCAATAAGCAGAAAAGAAGTAA